AGGTCATGAAGTTCAAGACCAAAGACCTTAACTGAGACTATCCAACTACCTACGGTTCAGTGACTGGAAACCATACAAGAAAGGTTAGTGAAAAATCAATGGTTGTTAGTAAGGATGATAAGAAAAATCAATGCCAGCATCGGCAGCTCACAGAGTGTGCCACATTGTTCAAGTGGTGACAAGATCTACTGCCAAGAACAACACCTCAATGCCAATCTTCACTCAGCACCAGACATCTTCCTAACTCTTTCTATATTTGCTCCATCTAACTCCTAGTCTAGGTATCATACAGTTCTAGTCCCAATGCCAAGAATGACTACAGTCTTCTGTTGTGGAATACATTAAAGATGACGTCCAAGGTATAGTTTCTCAATTGTAACCATTTACTATAAATATTCATCAAAGTCCATGAATCTTGATGTTAAGATCCTGAAAATTTACCCTACCCCAAGTCAGGAGCAGGGCCTCAATCCCTTAGCTCTGTCACTTTAATAGATCATGGGCCCGAGTTTTCTTACCTTGAAAATAATATTAATAATACCTCTTATGCCAAATTAAATGAATTTACATGGAAAAAGTGACTGGTTATATCAAAGTCATAGAGAAATTAGAAACAAAACTTATGTACTGCACCTCCATGAAAAACTAGACCTCATTATAATTTTTTAACATAGGTTGACTCCTCACAAGTCTTCATGTATCATTAACAAAGAGTTAAAGTTAGACTAGGATGAAAAAAATCAAAATCAGTATACAGTACAGACATTTGTATAGTCATTTTTATCCTGGCACTATTCACAATAGCCAAAGTATGACATCAGTCTCCTTTAGTGAATGCATAAGAAAATGTGGCATATACACATAGTAGAACACTAATCAGCCATAAAGAGAAAAATGAAATCATGCTACTTAAAGGAAAATGGATGGAACTGGAGATTATCATGTTAAGCTAACTAAACCGGAGTCAAAAAGACAAATACCACCATATGTTCTTTTTCATTTGCAGGATTCAGACCAAAGAAGAGCACACACACACATACTCACAGTCACTTCCAAAATGACAAGGATGAAATTTATCACTATACTGAATTGAGTTTAAAATAAAGCAATGAATAACAGTTACTCATTTGCTGGAAAGAAAAGGCACTGGCAATCAACTGTTTTACCAGAACAAGAATTTTAGGAAATTACAGAGGAAAAACTAGATTACATGAAGGAACAGCCTGAAGCAAAACTGAAGACTCCTTATCTCCTGTGTGTTCTTTTTTACAACTAGCTAGCTTTGTAGTCAATGAACTAACAGGTCAGAAATAAAAACCTGTTCACTTTACTTCCAATAAATAAAACTACTTTCCCCAGAGAAATGAGCATTATTCCACTCTAAGCCTACTATAAACTACGATACAGACACACACACACACACACACACACACACACACACACACATACACAGACACACATTTAGAGCCATAGGAGAACACATGTTTTGCTTTAAATGCTTATATGTACACAAGTTTCCCTAATAGAAGTTTCACTCCCAATTGCCCAATTCAATGGAAATTTAATACTAATAAATAAGGGTCTAATATTTAACCTGACAACGTAGGATTGTTCTTTGCTACTAATTTATAATATTTTCTATTTTTCAAAAATACAAAGAGGTGAGCGCAGGGGTGGGGGGAAGAGATGGGAAGGGATGGGAAGGGGAAACAAAGGAAATTTTAAAAATACAAAGTTATGAGAGGAAAAAAAGATGAATAGAAAACAATTTTTAAAAACAATAAAAAATTTTTAAAAGGTACAAAAAAAGAGTTCTTTGATTTTCTTTTTTTTGGGGTGGGGAGGGAGGCGGGGAATGGGAAGGTCCTGCATCTCCTTGTGTCCATAACCAGTCTCTTGGTGGAGCCTCTGGTCTGCTTGTGGTATTTGATTTTCCTGTAGCTTAATTGGTTTCTTAAGTCAGGTACTGGCACAAGAACAGACCTGAGGACCAATGGAATAGAATTGAAAACCCAGAAATGAGCCCACAGAGCTATAGCCATCTAATCTTCGATAAGGGAGCTAAAAAAAATAGAATGGAAGAAAGACAGCCTCTTCAGTAAATGGTGCTGGCAAAATTAGTTAATCACTTGTAGAAAACTAAAGCTAGATCCTTATATATCACCCTGTACCAGAATCAACTCCAAATAGATCAAAGACCTCAGAGTTAAAACACACACTCTGAAAACATTACAGGATGGAATAGGAGAAACCTTATGTCTCCTTGGCACAGGCTGAAATTTTCTTAATAGAGATCCAAAAACACAACAAATCAAAGAAAGGTTGGACAAATAGGATTGCATGAAATTGCAGAGCTTCTTCATGGCAAAGGACATAGCTAGCAAGATCAATAGAAAGTCCACAGATTGGGAGATAGATCTTCACTAGCCATACAATGGACAAGGGTCACATATCTAAAATAAACCTGGAACTCAAAATATTAAATCCCCCAACAAGAAATCCTCAAAGAAACAACTGCCCAATAAATAAATGGGCTAAATATTTAAAGAGAAACTTCTCTGAAGAGGAAAGAAGGATGGCCAATAGACACATGAAGAAATGCTCAACCTCCCTAGCCATAAAAGAAATGCACATCAAAACAACATTGAGATACCACCTCACCCCAGTTAGAATGGCTATAATCAAGAACTCTAATAACAACAGATGCTGGAGGGGATGTGGACAGAAGGAAACCCTACTGCATTGTTGGTGGGAGTGTAAACTTGTTCAACCACTTTGGAAAGTAGTATGGAGGTTCCTCAAAAGACTCCACATAGAGCTCTCCTAGGACTCAGCAATCCCACCTTTGGACATTTACCCAAATGATCACAAACAAGACCATACTAAAGCTATCAGCACAACGATGTTCATTGCAGCATTATTTACCATAGCTAAGATATGGAACCAACCCAGATGTCCCTCAGTAGATGAATGGATCAAGAAAATGGGGTATGGAATTCTATGCCTCCATCAGAAAGAATGACATTGCCCCATTTGTTAGGAAATGGAAAGACTTGGAAAAAATTATATTCAGTGAAGTAAGCCAGACAAAGAAACATAAGTACCATGGTTTCCCTTATTTGCAATTACTAGCATATGTTTGAGACAAGCAGAAAAGGTCAGAAAAGTTGATGTTAGGTGAAATGAACCCCAAGATAAGGATTCAAATGTTTTTTCTTTCTTTCAATTGTCTCTAACATATTTATAAGATGATTTCTTTGTTGCTTTGTATGTCCTTCCCCTACGATATAACACCAGCATTCACTGTATTTGATGTTGGTATAATTTAGGGAGGGTAAGGGAAAAAACAAATTGTTTAAATAGGGATACAGGTGGCCCCACTGCAACAATAAGATGCACAAGACGTTATGTCAAAAAATGAACTTTACAACTTGGGGGAGGAGCTGGAAATGGGAAGGGATGGGAAGGGGAAACAAAGGAGGAGGCAACAATGCTTGATAAAGAATGTACTCATTACCTTGCCCATGTAATTGTAACCCCTTTGTACAGTATTTTCACAATAAAAAAAAAATTAAATTAAATTAAAATAGAAAAGAAGAAAAAAAAGTACAAAGAGTCAATTAATACAGCAATTAACCTAAAACAGTTCACCAATTACCCCATTAAAAAAAAATCTAGAGCTCTGTCCTTCAAATATCAAAAATCCTAACAGCTGGTGCAAAATTATCCAAGTTTATTTTCTAAATAATGGTACAACCTTTGTCACAGAAAATGTTTCCTTGTGGTCTTATGGTCAAGAAATTAGTTTCCAATTATAAGAAAATAATGACAGCCATGCACTTTTTAAAAGGAAAACAAAATAAGTAATCAATTATAATTTAGAGTTACAAGACAATTCACTACAGCACAGATACATATAAAACATTATTGTATAAATGTAATATTAGTGTATACTTATCATTGCAAGTGTGAATAAATAAATTTAATTCTTTTCCAAGGCATTACAAAGAAAGTAAATTCCAAAGGAAGGAAAGACAGAACTAGCAAATATCCATAGACTTATTCACTTTATTTCAAAATTCTAGAGTATCTTTCTTTCTTGTATTCCTATGTGAGCTAAATCTAAATTTGCACATTTTTGAAAGGATCATTTGAAATATCAAGCAAACTTTTAAACACATGTATAACCCAGCAGTTCTATTTCCAGGGATTCTGCAAGATTAGATACAAATATATATTAGAAAGGTCACTGGATATTGTTCACAATAAATGAAAAACCTGGATATGTCCTTATTATGAAATAGTATATAACTCCTTAAAAGTAGGTAGACCTACACAATGTTTTGCCAACTATGATATGAAACAATTGAGAAAAGAGTTGCCTAACTATTTTAATACACGTTTGTACATGCATACAAAGTGTTTAGAAAGATCTTTTAAAAAGTCAAAATGGTTACCTCTTTAGAGGCGAATGGAGAGAGGTTTGAGAATTTTGTTAAAACAATGAGCATCTGTCACTTTAAAATAAACCATCCTTAAAATTTGTATCTATCAGTAGTCCAAAATAAGCAAGTCTTTGTTGAATTTATGTCCAGAATTCTACCCTATTACCTAAAGCTTTCAATCAATAGAATCTAATCAAAGTAAGCTGGGGCTTGAACTCTGTAGGCCCTGTCCCTGAGCCTCTTTGTGCTCAAGGCTAGCAATCTACACTTGAGCTACAGTACTACTTCTGGCTTTTTTCTGAATAGTTTACTGGAGATAAGAGTCTCACAAACTTCCCTTCCTGGGCAGACTTTGAACCACAATTTTCAGATCTCAACTTCGTGAGTAGCTAGAATCTAAACTATATTTTAACTCTAAGATAATAAAGCATTTTTAAAAAAATCACAGCTCTGTACATTGTTATCTCCTTTCTCTTACATCTCTACTCCCCAAAGACTGAATTCTCCCAAAAAAACTTGGTAAACAAAAATGTAAATATATTTAAGCATGCTCACATGTTCAACAACACCAGCCTGTCCATTACTATATTCTCGATATTGCCCAAGCATCTGGTCCACTTGTCGAAGGTTCCGACTAGTATCCTTTAGAGAGAAAATACTGTTATTGTTCTGAACAATACCAATCAGCCCTATATCAAAGAGCTAAGCCAACAGTTTGTTAAAGGTATAATTTATATTATAATTAGGTATCAGTGCACTTAAAAAAATAAATCACTGTGGAAAAAAAATCAAATCCTGCAGGGTGCCAGTGGCTCACACCTGTAATCCTAGCTACTTGGGAGGCTGAGATCTGAGGATCGTGGTTTGAGGCCAGTCCAAGCAGACTCTAATAACACTCAAAACCTAGAAGCTGAGGTGTGGCCCAAAGTGGTAGAGCACTAGCCTTGAGCAAAGAGAGTTGGGGGGGGGGGGGCTGGGAAGGTGGCTCAGTGGTAGAGCGCTTGTCTTGCATGCATAAGGCCCTGGGTTCGATTCCTCAGCACCACATAAGCAAAAAGAAAAAAGACAGAAGTGGGGCTATGGCTCAAGTGGTAGAGTATTAGCCTTGAGCTGAAGAGCTGAGGGACAGCACCCAGGCCCAGAGTTCAGGCCTCACGCCTGGAACCACCCCTCAAATAAATAAATAAATAGATAGATAATTAAACAAAAAAAAAAGAGAGTTCAGGGACAGTGCCCAGACCCTGAATTCAAGCCACAACTGGGAAAAAACAAAAACCACTCAAATCTATCTTTTATTTGTATAAAATACAAAATTCATAATATAAATTTTTAATCCAAGGTTCTGAGGTATAACATGCTCAAGTGTAGAAAAAAATCTAGAAAGTCCAAGGCCTGAGTTCAAACTCCAATACTGCCAAAAAATAAAAAGGAGGAGGGAAAAAAAAAGAAGAGGAAAAGAAGAAAGGAAAAAGAGAGGAAGAAGAATCAAAAGAAGAGGAAGAAGTGAAAATAAGGAGGAGGAAGTGGTAGACAGACAAAAAGAAAAGGAGAAGAGGAGGTGACATCAAATGAAGAAAAAGACAGGCAAAATAAGGAAATGTAAGAGCCTAACCCCCCTATCTGGCTTTGAAGACGAATGTAGGGAGCCACAAGATAAGAAATATTGGGCCACTTCTAGAAGCTAGAAAAGAAAGGGAGCAGATTTTCTCAGAAGTCTGATCTATAGAATGATAAGATGTTTTGCTGTTTGAGACAGCTTTATGGTAATTTGTGAAGTAGTACTAAGAAAGCTAATACATGGCTGAAACTATTATTCAGCTCAATCTGCTTAAAATCTACTAATGGCACCCACTATAAAACAAACCTGTAAAGTACTTGTTATAGTATTGACCTTCTCAGTGACATCTACTGTAGCATGACTTCTGGTTTCCGTTGGAATCGATCTGGCAGCCCATCGACTCACACGGTCACGATAGCGGAAGCGATCTGAATCACTGGTTGATTCTGCCATTGATACATGCAAATCCTTAAAAACAGATCAAAGTCAGGTCAATCAGTTAATTATTCTTTTTCATTTTAAGTCTTATTAAAGTCTTTTAGAATATCATAATTTCTACCACAAGAAAACAAGAGTCACTTCCTACTATACTTCTCCTTTGTTTTGTTTTCTCTGACTTGAGAATAATTCTTCAGATATGATTTTAGTTATGGTTACAATTCCAAATACTAATTCCTTACATTTCTGCAGAGCTTCAAATTTTTAAGGTATTTTAATATATAGTGTCTCACTTAATTCTACCAATAAATCTGTAAGATAGATTTAAAATAGATATATTTTGTAAATAGATATAAATTAGATAATCTCTAAAGTCCCACAATTGTCTTAATATTAGTCTGATGTTTATTAAACTATAAAAATACATGTCTTTTGGTTTTTGGTTCTGTGTGTGTGTGTGTGTGTGTGTGTGTGTGTGAATGCACACATGCACACAGCTGGGAGTCACACTTCTACTTCTGACTTTCTGCTGACTAATGACAGATAAGAGCCTCATACACTTTTCTGCACAGGCTGGCTTAAATTCACCATCCTAAAATCTCAGCCTCCTGAATAGCTAGGATTACAGGCAAGAGACATCAGTGCCTGGCTAAAAATGGGTGTAAAATACGTCACATCAACAGCACATCCTACAATAAAAAGAATCCTATTCACTGTACACTGAAAACTTGCACCTTTGAGTATAGCAGAATTAAATGATGCAAAAGAAGTCTAAGTATCACAGTAACAAATTTGATATTGAATCCCACAAAAAAAAAGAGCCAAAGTAATTTCAGCAATGGAAAAATCCTCTAAGCAAGATTTTCTTCTATCTTTACCTCAAATATCTGTTTAAAAGATACAAAAATTATTTCATACAAGAAAACCTCAAGTTTCAGAAATCCTGTAATATAAGTTTGGAGAAACCAAATTGATCAAAAGTAAAAGTTCATCAAGTATTACCATAATACCATTTACTGCTTAATGAAAATTAATTCACATTGCTACAATCTTCCTGAAAATCTGACTATACTCCCCCATCATTCCCCCCCCCCCCACACTGGATTATTTTGTGAAGTTTGATGACAGTTTTCTATGATAGAATATTCTTAGTCTTTAAGATTTTTATTCTCATTGCCTCTTAGAAGTACATGACCATGTGTCAAAAGAGAAGAGGAAAGGAATGTGCCAAATGTGTGCAGATCCTACAACATTTAATGACTGCAATCATGTTTTTAATATATTGGATGAAACAAACAAAGACCCTTGCTGTGAAGTTAGATTTTTCAAAATGAAATAGTCACATCAAAATAGAAAGAAATCGGTGGGAACATCCAGCTTCTCCAACTGGCTGAGACAGGGAAAGAGAGCATCCTGCTCCACACCCCTGCTTCTCCACTGTCCTGTGCACCTGTCTGCTCTGTTCTTGTCTCCATCTCCATCTGTATGCAAGGAGCGGTATAGTGCCCATGATGGAGCTCACCCACACCAGAAAACATGACCAAAAACTACCAGCAGAAGTAACTGTTTGGCTTTGCTTTCCCAGCCTCATGGTTGTCTAAATCCTAAAGAAAAGTAACCCAAAAAGAGATCATAAATGTAATTTGTCTTTCAAAGTTAAGAAGGCATCTGGCTGAGCAATGGGGGCTCACACCTGGAATCCTTAGCTACTCAGGAGTTTGAGATCTGAAGATCCTGGTTCAAAGCCAGCCCGAGCAGGAAAGTCTATGAGTTTATCTGCAAGTAACCATCAAAAAGCCTGAAGTGGAGCTATGACTCAAATAACAGAGCACCAACGTTGAGCAAAAAGCTAAAAGACAGAGCCCAGGCCCTGAGTTCAAGCTTCAGTATGACACAAGGAAAAAAAAACAAGTGACTACTGTATCTCATGAATCTCTGCCACATGACCTTTTACTCTTACTCTATGTTCAAGTGCTTTCCATCATTACCTACTAGTAAAAGCAGGAAGAACCAGCATTTTCTAAGTACTTTCTTTATTCAAGTATTACCCAGGATACTGGTATAAACAATCCAATTTAATTCTTATAGCAATTCTATGAAGAGAATACTATTAGTAAGGGGATTTATGTCCACAGTAGAGTACTTTCTTAGCATTGGCAAGGCCCTATATTCAATGCCCAGCACTGCAAAAATAAGGGAATACTATTCACTCCTCATTTATGGAAGATGCTGTAGCTAAGCGGTATTAAATAACATATTCAGCTCCACACAGGGATAAAAATAGCAGACTTGGCATTAAGCCAGCCTTTTCTTGTATTTTTGTGGGAGGGGGTGGGGCCTGAACTCTGGGCCTGGGCACTGTCCCTCTGCTCTTCAGCTCAAGGCTCGAGCTCTACTAAGCCAGCCTTCTTTATCTTCAATACTATTTCCATTCACTGTATTCTTGGTGTCTGTTACCCACTGGATAAATCTGAACTAAGAGCCAGGGGAAAAAAAACTCAAATTATTATTCCATAAATTCATAAAAAAAGAAATTTTTAGGCACAATGAAACAGTAATATTGAGAAATACAATGTGTTTACTATAATGGTTGTTAGTGAGAATAAGGAACAAAATAACTACCTTTGAGGCAAATAAATGTTTCTAAAAGTACCAGAATACATTTCAATTGATACAAATAGTATATTATACTCTTCTTATTTTGGGGGGGGGAGGGGGGAGTGGGGGGGAGAGTCCGGTCGTGGGCCTGAACTCTGGGCCTGGGCACTGTCCCTCAGCAATTCAGCTCAAGGCTAGCGCTCTACCACTTGAGCCACAGTGCCACTTCCAGCTTTTTTTTCTGTTTCTGCTTATGTGGTGCTGAGGAATCAACGCCTCATGCATGTAAGGCGTTCTACCACTGAACCACCTTCCCAGCCTCATACTCTTCTTATAAGTAGGTAAGATGAGGTTCACCTTGAATAACAACTGTTAAACATTCAATTGCTATGGTTCTTTTAAACAATTTGAAAATTGGATTGAAACACATTATTAGTACAGATATAACAATGAAGGGCTGGAAGTAAGTGGTACAGCACCAGATAAACAAGCAACATGCAGTCTTGAGTTCAAAATCTCAGTATCAACAACAATAAAAACTTTAGCCAGACAGCAGTGGTTCATGCCTATAAAACTAGCTACTCAGGAAATTGAGGTACAAAGGATTGATGTCTGAAGCCAGACCAGGCAGAAAAGTTCATGAGACTCCATCACCAAAGTAACCAGCAAAAACAAGGCTGCAGGCATAGCTCTAGTGGAAGAGAGCCAGCAGATTGAACACAAGAACCTAAGTTCAAACCCCAGTATGGAAAAAAAAAAACCAACAACATAAGAGTTACCATCTGACATAGGTTTCTATTTTTTAGAGTTTAACACTAAAACAGAAAATCTTAATATTATATAGATTTAAAAATGATATTAACTAAATTATCTCCAATTGTCATCTAATCACAAGGGGAAAAAATTTCCTCTCACTTACCCCAAGTAGAATTACATACTTTTATGAGAAAGAATCACACTTTCCAGCATGAATTTCACTGGTATAAGCATGCAAAGTCTTCTGCTATTAATTTCAATTACTTTGAGCAATAAAAGATGTTCAAACTGCATCTGATGGAACTCCTGCAGAGATACCAAGATTTAAGGTATGATATATCGGAGAAATTTACATATACTTTTATTTATATAAAACATGAGTTTAATTACATAACTTTATTTAAAATAATACATAAATATTGAACTAAGGACAATTAATGAATATAATTATAATAAAAAATAGGAATAGATTGTTTATATTGGTGATTAAAAAAAAAAAACCTTGGCACTTTCTTCAACTGCTGTAATGATTAAAACATGAGTCCCATCGCTAACTTGATTGGACTTAACTCTAAGTGCCACAAAACAGAAAGCATCTATGATGGCATAGACACACGCTCATCAGTGTATATCAGCCAACAACATCTTTCCTCAAATATGGAGTTGATGGAAAGGGGTGAGAAGGAACAGAATGGCCACTGAAGTTGGCAGAGGCTCACATTACTTAATCAAACCCTAGGGCCAGACATGAGCCATGAAAATATTTCCCAAGTGCCCTGTAATATGACAGATTAAAAGAAAAGCCAAGGGCTGGGAAGGTGGCTCAGTAGTAGAGCGCTTGCCTTGCATGCATGAGGCCCTGGGTTCGATTCCTCAGCAACACATAAGCAAAAAGAAAAAAGCCGGAAGTGGCGCTGTGGCTCAAGTGGTAGAGTGCTAACCTTGAACTGAAGAGCTAAGGGACAGCGCCTAGGCCCGAGTTCAGGCCTACGACCGGGCCAAAAAAAAAAAAAAAAAGCCAGCCAGGTGTTGGTGGTTCATGCCTGTAATCCTAATCTATTTTAGGAGGCTGAGATCTGAGGATATCAGTTCAAAAGCCAGCCCAAAAAGAAAAGTCCTTGATACTATTATCACCAATTAACCTCCAAAAAACCAGAAGTGGCACTGTGGCTCAAAGTGGTAGAGTGCTAACCTTGAGCAAAAGATCTTAGGGAGAGCAACCAGGCTCAAAGTTCAAGCCCCATGACTGACAAAAAAGAAAAGAAAAGAAATGCCAAATGTCAATTATGTAATCTATATTAACAATGTATTACACTATAATTCTAAGACATGCTTTTTAAAAGTATTGTCTATACTAAGATCACTGGTATTAAAAAAAAAATACTGACCTCAGAAAATCTTCCTCCAGTGAAACAGCACCTAATAGACTATATATTGACAAAAGCATTCTGAATGGGGTCACATAAGAAAACTAGTATGTTCAACCATGGAAACCTAATAGTCTGAGATGTATACTAGACGTGCCTTTGTGGACTACTGTTTTCTTTTAAATAATAATGCCTATAGATAGCCAGATTTCAGGGGAAAGAGCACTCCTACACTTTTCAAATGAGAATGTGAAGTTGATATAACCTGCTGGATACCAGCAAGAACAGTTTTGAGGTAAACGTTCAGCTGTAATGGTAAAGCACTTGCCTAGCATGTGTGAGGCCTCAATCCCCAGTATGCAAAAGAAAAACAATAAAAAGTGAAAGCCAATTTTTACCTTTGATCTGACATACTAAGGTATTCATACTTCCAAATAATTCCCCTAAAAATCAACTGAATACATACAGAAATTTGCAGGTGAAAATATTTCTGTAAAGCTACACTAGAGTAAAAATTTTAAACAGCTTATATTTCAAAGCCAAGTGCCTATTGCTTATGTGTGTGATCTTGGCTACTCAGGAGACTGAGAACTGAGGATCTAGGAAAAATCATGAAACTCATCTCCAGTTAACCATCAAAAATGCTGAAAATGGAGCTGTGGCTCTGGGGCAGAGCATCAACCTTAAGCAAAACAGCTAAGGCCTGAGTTCAAGCCCCAGTTTTAGCACAAAAAAAAAAATCAAAATACAAGAGAATGGTTAAAATACTGAACTTCCATATAATGGAACAGTATTAGGACATTAAAAATCTTGTTTCTGAAGACCACTGAATGGCAAAGCAAGTAATAAAAGCATAAATTCCACTTTTGAATAAATTCTATATTATCCAATGTGTATATAAACTATCTTTATGTAAATGTAGAGTCACAGGAAATGGCAGGATGTTCATGTTTATATACCCTACACAGTTTAATGCTGGTTTATATTTTTTAACCATTCCCACCATTGATGAATTTACATTAATATAAAGATGGCCTTCAAAAATAGACTGACAGTAGATTAACAGGCTGCCACTCTAAAGATGGTGTTTAAAGTTTCTTATTAGCAGCTCCATTTACCTTGGTACTTTTTTCCTATTCCTCTTTGGCAATCTCTTGACCTTAGTACCTATTCCTCTGTCATCTATCTAGGTAGGGTGATATCTATAAATCTTGGCAATAGATCAGCTCAAGAAACAGGGTCACAATATTGGTCTCTCCTATTTTATTCTGAAGAGCATTTGGACAGCTACTTGAACCATTTATCATGAGTTTGTGAGCTACAAGAATATTTTCAAATTGGCTATTATTCTCTTTATTGTTTTGCTGAAGAACAGCTACTAGGCTTTAAAACTGATTCACTTAAACAAACAATCTACATGCTGGTACAAACTTAAAAATTAAAGCACTACTTGAAAATGTACTGACATCACCTATGCAATCAAATTCTGCTTTGGAAAACAAATTCAGAATTACTCATGAGTGATATGCAATCAGTAGTACAATTTGAAACCCAAAGACAAATTTTAAAGACAAGTAGAAAAACACCTTTATGTGCTCAAAGAAATTTTCATCATTAGTTTATAATTATTCAGAAGAAAAAAGTTCAATTGAATGAGAAATCCATTCTAGCATAAGAAATTTCAAGATGACATACAATGAATGAGAGAGAGCAAGAACTGCTGGAGTCCAAGAATGAGTGAGTGTGCGCTTGAGTATCACTTTTAAAACACTGAACTACCTTTCTGCTTAAAGGTGAGAAAGGGACTTCTCTCATTAGAGAAAAAGCACTAATTCCTCTTCTGAAGCTTACTACAACAAAACTACTGTGGGGGGGGACGGGGGGGTGTATGCATGTGTGCGCATGTGCATGCCACTCTTGAGGCTTGAACTCACAGCACTGTCCCTGAGTTTTTTGCTCAAGGCTAGCACTCTATCTACCACTTGAGCCACAGCTCCACTTCTGGCTTGTACTGATTAGGTGGAGTTAAGTGTCTCACCAACTTTCCTGCCAAATCTTAGCCTTTTGAGTGGCCAGGATTCCAGGCATAAGCCAGCCACCAGTGCCCAGCCACAACAACATTTCTAATGGATGAGAAAACTATTTTTTTTCTGTTTTCTTTTCAGATCTGAGCCTATACAGATAACTAAGTGAGATTAGTGACCTTGAGTGAAAGACTGGAAAATTTCATAGAAAGCTCTGGGTCTCAAGAGCAGATGGTACAATTCATCAATACATCAATACTTTATGATATAAATACTACTGTTTCTGCCTTAATGAACCTTATAAAGAAGATATACCACCACTAGAGCAAGTAATGAACCTTCACCAATTCATTCTCATTGTGCATCATCTAGTCATCTACACAAATATCCATATGCAAACCTCTACACTGTGACCAGACTCAAACCAGTATGACTTTAAAAACTCGAACCCACTGCTTATATATTTATTTGACCTAGAAAGGCATTAGAGAGCCATGTCTTCATTACCGTAGCGCACATTTGTATGTATGAGAGCTGTAATTTATTGATTCTCCTATCTCTTTCCCTCAGAGTCAGTTCAAAACAATTAGGATTTGCAAGCTGTTCCATAAAAGATAAGCACCCAGCATTAAGAATGATATTTCACAAACACTAGTGTTTGTGAAGTAAATGATTGCTTCTTTTGCCTCCCAGCACCTGAGCTGTTTCTATCCAAGGCAACTGTCCTCAAAGAAGATGTTCAAGGTAATGTTGCTGATATTTAGTAGGGAAATGGGTAACGTACTTTAGCTTAATCATCATCCAAGTTTAGAACACATTTCTCACAATCTAATAGCTGTAAGACTTGAGACCTTCATCTCACCCTTCAAGTGTCACAGACAAGGAACCAAAAGAAAAAGAAAAACATCACTACATGTAATTATCAGTTCCACTTGTCTTCTTTACATGAGGGTTCTATAACTTCAGCTCCTCAAACTCTTGTGCTACATTTCTGTAAGACCAAAATCAACTGTCCATTCCATTAGCCAGTTCTCTGTTAAACAGTGAATAAAGTACTCCACAAGAAATGGAATCAAAGGGATTTAAAACAGACTCATGTATCATTTACTGAACTGTTTCTACTAGAAATCAATGATAAAATTAGCAGCTGGTGGCTCACTCCTGCAATCCTAGGTGCTCAGGAGGCTGAGATCTGAGGATTGCAGTTCAAAGCCAGCCCAGATAAGAACTCATCTACAATAAACCACCAGAAAACCGGAAGTGGTGCTGTGGCTCAAGTGGTAGAGCACTCACCTAGAGCTGAAGAGCTGAGGAACAGTGTAGAGGCCCAGAGTTCAAGTCCCACAACAGACCCAAAAAAAAAAAAGGAAAGGAAGGGGAGAAGGGGAGAAGGGGAGGGGAGGGGAGGGGAGGGGAGGGGAGGGGAGGGGAGGGGAGGGGAGGGAAGGGATCAATGATAAAAGTAAATAAGTCAGAGTTCTTGATGGGAGAGAAGTGGGCCTTCCTGAATGGGCTGCCCTCCCACCAGGTCCTTCTCAGGGTTCAGCTTCCTGACCTGCTTTGCTCAGTAGGATTTTAACTGGTATGGCACAAAATGAGGTTGAAATGGAACTATGCACTGTGCCAAACTTCCTACATATCACGTGCTCCAGCTAGGATGAGAAATTATGGAATACATGGATGTCCCTGTGTCTTCCAGCTTATATGAGCAATCTAGTCAGCTGACCCCAAACAAACAAGTCTAGGCATGATAAGCAGACAGCTTAACTGATCTATTATATAAGCATTAAACATTTCTTGCTATTTATCTCCAAGGTTTCATAATAGAACAAAGGCTATCTGAAAGACTTAGATACCGATACATAAATATGTTAAATCATACTGAAAAACCATTTGGCTTTGGTTTAAAACAACT